GGGGGGCGACAGGAAGCGAGGGGGCTGCCTCCCCGGTGCCTTGCCCCTCCGGGGCGCTGGCCGGAGCTCTCGGAAGACGGCGGGCGTCCCCCCGGGAGGGAGAGGGAGCCGGCTGGAGGGCGCCCACGCGGGGCGGGACGGGGCGGGAAGCTGCTGCTCGGGGGTCGGGGAGCGCGGCGGCGGCGGCAGTACCCTCTCCCTCACCCCCTTGGCGCCCGGGCCGCCTGCGCGAGAGGCAGGTTGAAGGCTTGGGCTTTGTGCTGTCTCCTGGACCGGACTTTTTCTTTCTTTCTTTTTTTTTTTTTTCTTTTCTGCCGCACGTTAGACTGGTTTCTTCAGTGCAGGCTGTGTTGGCCACCGGGTCGGGGATCGTCATCATCCGCTCCTGTAACGACGTGATCACGGACAGGTAACATCCAGCGCCAGGTGAAAGCAGCACCAGTGACAGCGCCGAACTTTGTGGAAGTGTCCTTATTCGAGTGGCTCTCAGGCGCTAGTTCTTTATCAGCACGTGCTGTTGGGGAGCCGATTGATGGGAAAGCTGGGGCACCATAATTAGTGCCTCTTCCTCTCCGTACGTCTCTCGGCCTCGCCCACTTGGGAGAAAGTAAGCCCAAGATACGCTAGTGAATGACGGGTCTAGGTCTGAAGGTGGGCCACTGACCCAAGTACTTTGTGAGATACGTAAGTGTGAGAATTACTCGGAAGCGGAACATTAGCTTTTGGTTCTTTTCAGTGATTTCACTAGGGTCCTACTCTGGAGCTTCATTGGCCAACGTATGTCCAGTGTGGGTAGCAGAGAGCCCCCTCGGTGGAAAGGAATGAATCCACCAACCCTGTCTTTACAAGGGCGGCTCCGTGGTTCCTCTGGATTTGCTGAAGGCAATGAACAGGCTTCTAGTGTTTTCAGAAAACTGACTTGTACGCCAATCAGAACTCGGTCCAGAGACAGGTCAGGAAAGGTGCCTCTAGTGAAGAAAATCATAAAGACCAGAGTGGTCTACTTTGTACAGTGTTTAGATCTCAGCAATTGTGCCTCCCTCCCCCATTTTTCTAAAAAACCATTTTTTTTTCCATCTGAGTTCCCAGAACCCCTCTTACTTTCTCCTAAAGAGTGATAATGAAACACGCTGGGAAAATCTCAGAGCCTCTTCTAGTCCCTTTCTCATGTTGACTCTGCAAAGTGCCCTGCTTTTCACCTGTCGAGACTGAACTTGATGGGAGCCAGAGTGCAGCGTCCACCTCACTGTGGCCTGCAGACTTAGCGTCCGGATCTTCCTTGGATTAGTGCTGCCCTGTAGCTTTTGCGCTTTTCTTCCTGTGCCTCTTTTGCAGACGAAACCAGCTATCTGCAAGGAATTATGGGCTATGCAGACAGAAGATAGGTCAAGTGGCCTTGACTGCATATACCACAGGCTGACAGCATTAGCTTGGCCGGGTTCCGTTTTTATTCTCTTTGGCCATTTTTGAGGTGTCGGGGGCTAACCTGAGGGTGTGGGTCCCTGTGGTGGAGGCTGAACCACCCTGGAGTGTGGGGACACAAAGGAATCTGGATCCAAGTCGCTTCTTTCCCACTTTGGGGCTCAATGCCCTGCCTGTCTCATAGTTCAATGGGTGAAATAGTTTCTTATTGAGTTGCAGGAAGAGGAAAGAGTTCAGAAGAGCAAAGAATAAGAATGGGTCAGCTAGATAGAAGATGAAACCCATCCGATCTGTGTTGGATCTCATCCAATCAGTCACCAGAACTTTCAACTGACCACAGCATGTTAGCCAGATCAACTCTTTGGCCATTTTCTGATCATGCAACAAGTTCCCTCACTGCCCCCAGTTTGTCACATCCAACTTGAAACCAGCCTCCTTTGCAAAGATTAAACTGACAGACGTGACTCCACAGCATTATCCTGAGCTGATATGAGGGCAAGCAGCGAGTAGCCACTAAGCATTTCAGAAGATACTGGTACGCCATTAATTGCCCGTTCTGTAGCGTGGTGTCTCCCCTCAGAAGCTCCACGTGTTTAGTGGCTTGATCCTGGTCGCACACCTGAGTTTGGTTTTCCGTTTCCTCCTTTTGTGTCTCTTTATGCCTTAGATTCTCTGATCACACAGTAGAGATAGACACATTTCTGTGCCCTCCACCTTTACATGTATGCGTGAAGATTTTTTTAAAGGTTATTATTATTATTTTGAGGGAGAGACAGAGAAAGCATGCAAGTCGGGGGGGTGGGTGGGTGGGTAGGGGCAGAGAGAGAGAGGAGGAGAGAGAATCCCAGGCAGGCTCTGCACTGTCAGCAGAGCCCAAGGCGGGGCTCTATCTCAAGAACCATGAGATCATGACCTGAGCTAAAATCAAGTGTCAGATGCTTAACCAGCTGAACCACTCAGGAACTCCTGCCTAAGGATGTTCTAGAGGTACCTAGATCATCTTAAAAACAGAGTCCTCAGCAAGCACTACAGGTGATTCTGAATTCGGGTTGAGAACCAGAAAACTAAATTACTTCTACCTGACAGGTGCACAGTAAAAATCTGCTGAGTGAAGCTGTTCCTTCTCAGCATAGCATATGATTTCTATGTTGATTTTTTTTTCACATTACCTATAGAATGATTATTTATCATTTGGGAACAAAAGTGTAGAAATTAGAGACTTCTAATCTGCTCTGGGGCAGTGATACACAGTCATTTAGATTCTGCAAATGTTGATTCAGCCCCTTTGGACAAGTAAATGGGAACACTGTCTTTTGTCCCAGCTTCTCTTCTGGTGTCTGACTGCTGTAAGGTAAGTCCTTGGGCTCTGGGCTCATTTCCAGATGTATTTTTCTTAATGAGTGCAATTGGGATTAGCCATAGAATTCTAAAGAAAATGGTCAGGGTAGCTCCCAGAAACTCCCTACAGTGGGGTTGCAAGCAGATGCAAGAGGAAACTCCCAGCTATTGAGCAACTAAGTGAAGTCAAACGGGAAATATTTGATTTGGCATTTGGGACACCTACCTTCAAACCAGTTTCTTGGTGAGGCTATTGAATCATTTGTAGAGATATCGATATCAAAGTTAACTTATATCAAAAAGCGCCAGAAAGCCCATTAGAAATGAGTAGCTAAGTCAGAGAAATAGTGACAGCTGGCTCTGTGGTCCTGAGTGGATCCTGGTTTTCTGCTTTTGACACTTAGGAATTTGCCCTGTCACTCAGAGAAAATTTTTCACTCACCTTATCACTGTCAGTGTCTCCATTGTAAAGTATTTGGAGTAGGAAACAATCAGGTACGAAGTTGAAGGGGATGTGTTTGAGAAGAGGTCGGCTTTGAGCTTTCATAATTGAGATCCATAGTTATTTCATGGATCGTTCATATGCTTTCTTTTAGGCACTGGCTTGCCCGGGAGTACGTCTGGTTCTTGATTCCATACATGATCTATGACTCCTACGCCATGTACCTCTGTGAATGGTACCGAACTGGAGACCAGAGCCGCAGACAGTCCCTCACCACTTTTCAGAGCTTCCTAAGTAAAAACCGTCTCATGATCACGCACCATGCGGTCATTCTGTTTGTCCTTGTGCCAGTGGCACAGGTATGGCCTTCCAGCACAGCCACCAGCAGACTCGGTCACTCATTTTCTCCTGTTAAACTGGCTCTCTTGACTGTTTGTTGCCTCTGAGTAATGTCTTGCCTTCCCCTTCCCTGCTGCACCCGCTCTCCTGGGCCAGCTACTTAAGCAGTAAAACGTCCCAGGCAGATCCTGCAGGAAAAAAAAAAAAAAAAAAAAAAAGATCTGAAATGTCTGTGATCCTCCTTACAGACATTACTCTTTATGCAAGCCCCCAGCCCTCTGTGACTCCCAGGCTCTGTCAAAGGTTCTGTCTTTAGCTTATACAATATAAGAACAATTGAAGACACAATGCAGGGCAACATAAAAATTGTTTTAAAGAAACGAGAGCAGCTCAGTCAACTGGCCATTTGCTCTAACAGTGCCGGAGAGTACTGTATGCACTATTTTGAGATCACAAAAGCACACTCTCAAAGCAGAGAGCCTCATAATTTCTCCTTGGATCCATTTCCCCACAAAAACCCACCCAACGAGGAAGAGAATGGGAATGCCGGAAGGAAATTAGTAATTTTGAGTGCCTACCAGGTGACAGGTGCTTGTAGCTTTCTATCTGTGATCAGAAGTTATTAGAGAATAATTAGGTATTATTAGCCCTGTACCATAGATAAAGAAACCAGGGTCCTAAGAGTTTACTTATTGTACCCAGTGGTACGAGGTGACAGAGCTGCTATCCTACGCTATCCTGGTTTTTCTTTTTTTTTTTTTTTTCAACGTTTTATTTATTTTTGGGACAGAGAGAGACAGAGCATGAACGGGGGAGGGGCAGAGAGAGAGGGAGACACAGAATCGGAAACAGGCTCCAGGCTCTGAGCCATCAGCCCAGAGCCCGACGCGGGGCTCGAACTCCCGGACCGCGAGATTGTGACCTGGCTGAAGTCAGACGCCTAACCGACTGCGCCACCCAGGCGCCCCAATCCTGGTTTTTCTTAAGATAAAAGGAGTGGTAGAGTATATTACATTCTTCAAGAAGCTTCACCTGATTGCTCTGGGGCCCTAACATCCAGCACAGGATCTGGCACATATTTTGTTGACTCAAACTGGCTAAATGCCCTTGGCGTGACAAAGTTAGATACCCAAAAGTAGGCTACACGGTTCCTTCCGGCTGACATTGAAATTCAGAAAAAGCTTGGTGTGTGATGCAATCAGCTGATCTGAAGCTGCCTCTGGATCTTAGGGATTTGGCCATCAAATGTCACTGCTGTGGAAGCAGCAGCACATTCACTGGGCCTGTACTTGCTCATTTAGCCTTTCCCTTTCCCTTCGTGCTCTCTCGTGGTCACCCTTCTCAATAGCCCTGGTTGGAATTTTCCTTCTGGTGATTCCTTAACCTCCATGTCTTATTTCCCCTTTTTTCCTCCCTCCCCTTTTCCTTTCGCAGAAGCTTAGGGGAGACCTTGGCGACTTCTTTGTTGGCTGTATCTTCACGGCAGAACTGAGCACTCCATTTGTGTCGCTGGGCAGAGTTCTGATTCAGGCACGTATGAGTGAGACGGCAGTAGCTGTGCGGAGGAAGCCGACTCTGCTCTTCCTGGGTAGATTGTGGGGTTTAGAGAAATCCCTTCGTGCTAGGAATAGTGGGGATAGGAAACCACTGAACAGACCTAAAGGTCAGTTGGTGTTCTGAGCCGATGGGGTTGAAATTGTACTTCTGATTCCAATTTGATACAGGTTGATTTTTTTTTTTTTTTTTAATTCAGTTTCCGTACGCCTGTCGGCTGGGCAGCTTATGCCAAATTCAGTATCAGTATTGGAAAAACCACAAGCCTATATGCACACATAAATACAGTGGCATTCAGTCCTCTTTTCTACAAGTGTCAGAAGACTAGATGCTTGGCCCTTACTGCGGTGGGGCTTGGGCTAGTCGTTCCCTGAAGGCACAGCCTTTTGGTGACTCTGCATTCTCCTTTCCTCTTCTCTTGCAGTTAAAGCAGCAGCATACCCTTCTGTACAAAGTGAACGGAATCCTCACACTGACCACCTTCCTCTGCTGTCGGATCCTTCTTTTCCCTTTCATGTACTGGTCCTATGGCCAACAGCAGGGACTAAGCCTACTCCAAGTGCCATTCAATATCCCTTTCTACTGCAACGTGGCCAATGGCTTCCTCATCGCTCCCCAGATCTACTGGTTCTCTCTGCTGTGCAAAAAGGCGACACGGCTCTTTGATGCTCCCCCAGCCCGAAAGGATGGGTAATTGCTCTCCGGAGTCGGGCAGTGAGGGTGCCTCCTCACACCAGCTGCCTCCTCCACTCAATCAATATTCTGTGGACCAAATTGTGCCCTGGGTGGCCTCAGCCCTTGGGGTATTGATAAGCAGAGGGATTTGAGGTTTTCTAAAGAATATTCATATTACCTCCCTCTTCTACCCCTTTTGCAAAAGCACTTTTTTCTTAGTAACTATTGGCTTCTGTCAGATTTCCACTGGTAGCAAGGTGGTTTCAATGCAAGCCCAAGGATCCTTCCTTGGGTCTTAGCTCAAAGGTTCTGGGAGGTAGAAGCATGGGGTATGGAGACAGGTAGACTAGGGTGGTAAGTGTTTGGGCACCTGCCTGGCCCTAATATTGGTGGCTACCCACCTTTCCAACCACTCAGGGCAGTATCCACACATACCGGGCCAGCAGAAGCAAGACTTGGTTCTTCACGTCAGTTCTTGTGATGTTGGCCTGGGAAAATCACTGTGTGTAGGTAGTTTTTTACCACTTACTAGATAACCCATTGGTCCCATGCCTCATCCTGTCATCCATGTGCCAACACTGAATTCTTGTGTCCACTGACTTCCATTCAGAAGTCTCACTGGCAGCAGGGTAAGAGGTGGGGAAGGGAACCTACAGCACTTGAGTAGGCAGAGGCCGATAGATCAGCGCCTTCGTAGGCTGCCTTGGGAAGACCAGTGTCAAACATGTGAGCTTGTTGTAAAGTCACAGATACTGTTCCTTTTTTAGCACGTTCCCTCAAGCCCAGCTTTCCCCGTATCCACACGCACAGGATGCCGTTGTTACGATAGGGGTAAAGCGAACGGTGCCTATCAAGCTCTTTACTGGGTAACCCTGCTTTGACACTGCCCTTTCCATATGACATGGAAACAGGCTTCTGTATTCCAGACCATGAGATGTCTCATCCAGGCTGCCTGACCAGAGCCTGTGTCCCAAAGCCTGTTCCTACATGAGCATACGGCCACTTTGCCACAGAAGGCTGGAGAGCAAGGGCGCAAGACAGCGCTGGCCAAAATACATCCTGTGGACTGACTCCTTCACCCGCCACTTGCAAATAGGATCCTCTGGTGCCAGTACTAATCGTTCCTTATCAACTAGGATGGTTTTTAGAAACTGCTACCATGAAGCGTTTTTTCAAGTGGTAGTAAAAATCTAGATGTTTTTAAAGTGCCTTTTAATTCATTGTTGTCCATGAACTTTTAAAGTACTGGGTATATAACGGTGTCTCAAATTTTGACTGTTTCAGTCTTTAATGGGTGCCATTTAAAAAACCTAAAATGCTGTTAATTTTTTTTTTTTTACCATTTTTATTATCGGTGTATCTTTATAAATCACCCCTGTGGTGATTAAATTGCACTAATATTTCCCAGCTTCTTCTCATTTGTGAAATACATCAATACTGACTTCTTTCCAGACCCATCCTGTGACCTGACTGGACTCACTGTTGTGTGCTATGGTTTCCGGCCCATCCATGCACCTGGAAGAAGTGGGGGTGTTGGGGGTGTGGTCATGCTGTCAGTGTCTAGGAGGGCCTAGTTCATACCTTACTCTAACGTTTCTGGGGTTCCAAGAATACATGGTAGGGTCCTAGAGTTCAAGCATATTGATCAGGTAACTTTTGGCGCTTTCTTCCCTTCCTATGTAAGTACCAATTAGAGGAATTGGAGGGTTGAAAACCAAATGTAGGCCACTAAGCCAACCCACTTAAGGCGGGGGCGGGAACCAGAATAATGCCCCATTTTGAGTGAAGGTATGCACAGGAAGGTGACGGGGCATATCCTTTTCCTTTCCCTACCTCCCAAATTAAGCGTCTCACCGACCAGTTCTCATAGTTCTGGGATATACCCAGACATGTTAAATTTGCATCTTTATGCTTCTGCACACACCACTGCCCGCTCCCACTCTTCAAAACCATGACAACTTACCCTAGGCAGAAGATAATTGTACCCATCCTTTATACCCATCTCTGCTGTTTACCAGACCTGGTTTCACACAGCCCCTCCTGGGTCCACTGAATGGAGTTAAGACCGTACGCCAATTCCAAAGTCACCCATTTTCTTAAGGTTAGTAGTCTACCCTCTGACATTTAATTTTCTTGGTCCAACGTTCTTTTACAGTGGTGCAGGCTATTCGGGCACACAAATCACACAGCCACTTGCTGGCAGAAGGGAGTGCTTTTCCTTGTTGCCCTTTCCAAGGTAGCACGAAATGACTCTGGAAAGGGGTTTCAGTGCAAAAGAACATACCTGGTAATTTTTCCACTTGGGTTATTTCACCTTTGGACTCATTTGCCAAATTCTAGGGTGGATAGGTCCAGTTATGAGCAAGTTCCTCCCACTTTGCCTTGATCTTTAAGACTCCAGCTGAGCCCAATGCCAGGGAATCTCTAAGCCTAGACTATTGACGAGAAAGACTCAAGAGACAGGATAAAACTCAGAAGAGAATTTTATAATTTGTACGTTATAAACATCTAAGAAACTATTTTCTTTATAGTTACTGCCATATACCTTCTTAGCTTGTGTACAATTTCACATAACTGAAAAGTTTATGTTTCTCAGCTCGACCCCTAGAGACCCCACCCATGTTGAGGGCCCAGCTGTTTTCTGATCTACAAAGGTCAGAAGTTGCTGATCTTCTGCAGCAGGGTTTGGCGCCGCTCCTCAGGGCTAATGTTCTCGGCGATGGACTTTAAGAAACGCTGCTCATTTACCTTCTGGAGCAAGGAACTAACAGAAGGGTTGGCTTTGCTCAGGGTTTCGTAGCAGGTGAGGATTTCCAAGGCCAAGACGTAGAGAGGTTCACACACCTCTTGGTGGACCATGGCCATGATGTGCAGAACATGACAGAATACCTGGGTATAAAAAAACAGGGTTTCCTGGGTCAGGTCCTGTTCTTGTCCTTGAGCCCAAGGGCCAACTGACTGTATCAACCTAACGGAGTCCAGGAGGTTGGTCAGACTGTTACAGAGAAGTCTGACCACATGGCTCCAGCCTTCCATAGGAAGCCAATTACGACAACTCTGGCTGCAGAGAAACTGGAAGGCTCTCAGAAAGAGTACAGAGAGTTGGAGCTCCTGGGCAAAGGGCTTCAGGTTGAGCAGAGGAACAAACTGAATATATTCCAGGCTATAAGGGACATGTAGGAGCTGTTTCTCCAATAGTCTCCTGGTCAACTGGTAAAGGTACTGCCACTCCTGGGGGCTGCACCAAGGCATGACTTGTACCAGGGCCACCAGAAAACCCTTGCTGAACAATCTGACCTCCTCAGGGTTGCCCACATCTACCACCAAGAGGGAAAGCATCTGCTCAGAGATGCTGCTGGAGAGGTAGCAGCACTCCATCCAGGCAAGAAGCCCTGTGCCTGGCCCGTACCCAGGGTGGGCCTGGGAGGTCCACTCATCCTCAGAAAGCTTACAGATCTCAAAAAGTGTGGCCGGCACCTCACACTTGAAGTGGCCCTCAAAGAGGTTCTTCATTCTCAAACGCACTGTCCAATCGAGCTGTTCCAGCTTCCGGTGGAGCCAAGACTGGGACTTGATCCATGTGTCCGGGGAGAAGGTCTCAGCATTAGCCAATACAATCTCACAGAGGATCTCCAGGATATGGATCACCAAATCCTTCCCATCCAAAGAGAGGCACCGCTTCTCTTTGGGGAGCTGCCAGTATTTGCTGAAGCAATCCAGCAGCTGGCACAAGCTGAAGATGAGAGGGAACGGAGAACAGGTCTGCAGCCAGTATCCCTCTAAAGATGCATTTGCTTGGAGAGTCTGGATGAAGATCTTCAAACTGAGGTCCACCTCTTTGACATCTAGCATCAAGAAGGGCAGGACGAACTCTTTTAGCACTTCATCTGGCTCAAGAAGAGCAGCAACTGGGATACCCTGGGGCTTCACAGGAGTCATGAGACAGCTCAGGAGCTCCAAAAATTGCTTTTCTTCCTTGGGTGTAGAGAACTTTCTCCAGACGGCTTCTTTGAGGCATGACACCACAAAATTGGTGGGTGGATTTGGACTCTGCTCTTCCATGAACCTAAGGGCAGGGAAGGCAGTGAGAATCTGAGCCAGGAACTTGTGAGTGCCAAGATTGACCACAGCCATGCTGCACATTTTCTTCACCGTGATCTCTGGGTACAGAATTACCAGGCGAGCCACAGAAGCTACAGCTTTAGCTAAGCCCTGTTCAGAGGCACTCTGTGCGAGCTGGTTAAAAGTTGTATTGAGGTCTTCCTGAAACCCGTCCAAGTAAGCCAACTTCTCAGACAGACCCTTTCGCCCCCAGGAGCGCAGGGTGCCTGATAGGACTTTATTTTTGTCTGGCAGTGAGAGGTCTGCATAACATTCCAGGATCAGGCTGATCACTTGTTTGATCTGAGATTCAGGGATGGCTCGGTCTGTCACGGTGACTTCCATCACCGTTTGCAACAGCTTTAACAACAAGTCCGGCTCTTGGAAGAGAGCCTGGTTATTTACCAGGCAGGCTAGCCACTCATCTGAGAAAGCCCACTTCTTCTCAGAAGCAAAAATGTAGCACATTTCCATATGCCGGTCCATCTTCTGGTTGATGATGGCCATGGCGATCGAGGCAGTGATGTCCTTCTCGAAGCCCTTGTTCTTCAGCACCCTGTTTGTTTTCTTTAGGAAGTCCCCTACACACTCTGCCAGCTCAGAGACCACCTGCCCCTCCTCCTTAGACAAGCTGGTGGAATCCAGGTAGAGCTTCAAGTTCTGGCTGAAGGAAGTCAGACTATCACACAGCCGGTAGCTGTCATAACTTGTCCCCTGGCTGCTGTTGAGCACGGTCTGCAGCTCCTCCCCCCATTCTCGCAGCAGGCTGCACATGAACTCCAACCCGATGAAAACTGTGTCGCTTGGAAGCTTGGCCAGGGAAGTCAGGCTGATGTCCCGTTCTGCTTCCTTTACCTTCTCGGCCAGTGCCTGTTGGTGATACGGGTTCTGGGTGTCCAAATTCCACACGGAGATCACCGCAGCCAGTTTGTCCAGATACACAGTTGCAGACACTTCCTGGGGGTTGTCCTCCATTAGTGCAAACACCGTCAGCATGTCAGCCAAGTTGGCTAGCGCATAGCACTTCATCCCGGGGCACAGGATTCGATTTTGGATTTGTTTCAACCCAGTGAGCAGCATGGCCAATAGGGGCATAGTAGGACACACATCTGGGTCTGACTTAAACCTCTTTGGAGGATGGGAGAACTCATCTGAAGAGGACAAGTACTTATGGGCCATTGTTCTAAACTGGGAGAGCAGGGGGTCCTGCTGATTGCCTTTGTGCTTTATCATTTCCCACCAGACACTGAGGAAAAAGGCCACATCCTTTGAAGAAGTGTCAACAGACATGTGCTCCAAAAAGTGCTCTAGTTCTGCACGGCAGATAGTGGTGGGCAGGGCCATCAGGAGCTGGATAAAGAGTCCAGAAGCTTCCAGAGACTTGAGCAGCTCAAAAAGCACTGTGTGATTGATGGTAGGGATCATGTTGACTACTGAGAAGAACACATCTTCCTGCCACCGAGTGTCAGTGTCAGAAGGGGTGACAGGGAAGGGCTGAAGAACCTTGGCCCAGATGATGATCAGAGCTTTCTTCTTCCAGGCAAAGGGTTGGGAATGTGCCGTGGTGGAGGAGATCTCCCTTAGGGCCTCCACAATGGGCCGCCCAACATGCTCCCAGTCAGACTTTGTTAATTCTGCCAGTGCCTTGGGGTGGAACAGCTGCTCAGCGAGCAAGAAGCCTCCATGAAGAATAGTCATTTCCTCGCAGATATTCAAGGGTCCTGCACAGAGAGAAACCGAACAAGACAGAATGTGGTGAAAAATATTTAAAATAATTAGAAGGAGTTAGAGGCAAAGAGACATCAGTTAGCATAGGCTGGTTGTCATTATCAGAGTTGGACATGAGAAGGGTTCAGTGAGACTGGGAAGAAGGGATAGTTCCAAGAGCTGCTGCAGAGCTGGAGTCAAAAGGACTTGCCTGAGGAATAAAAAAGGACTCCCATACTCTCTAGCCTGGATTGGGAAGACAATGGGCATCACTGGAGGAACAAAGAAGAATCAGAACAGTTTCGGAGGAACCCACTGTTCAGTTTGGGTTATTTGGAGTCTGAGGTAGAACATTAATGTAGAAACATCCTCCAGCAATGGAAAGGTGGGGTTGACACCCAGGAGGAGAGTCCATCCTGAAATGTAGCTCAGGGAGATATCCACCCAGAGGGGATCAATGGAATGAACAAAGTAAATGAGATCCTGCAGGAAAAGCATGTGAAAAGGGAAGGGCTAGGCCCTCCAGCACAGGATGGGCCAGCAGAGGATGTGGGGAGGAAGGCTGAGAGAGAGAGATATCACAGCAGTACCAAACTGCAGGGGCCACCACGTGAGTAGTGTGGAATGTGACAATTGAGCCTCTAAGTAA